CCCCCCCCCCCCCCAAACCGAGAGACCGTGGGTGCCGAACGCCCCTGCGGGTCTGTGCTTTTTTTTTCTTTCAAATTTTCTTCTCTTATTTCCCCCCACCGGAAGCCCTCCCCACGCCACCACTGCCCTCCAAGTCCCCAGGCACACCCCACCATGCCCGCCTTGTCGACCCGCGGGTCACCCTCAGCGAACATGTCAATAGCGTTCACCTGCATTCACCGCGTTCAATTTCCAAACGCGAAACGCACATTCAATGAGCACGCCGCAACATAGCACTCTACACCTGGGGCCGGGACCCACATGTGCCATGTAGTTTAGTTGGGCGGCAGCGGGTGGTGTCGGCCGGCGAATCCTGGATGTGTGATGGACCCGGATCGGAGGTGCAGAAAGTCAACCCGCGCAAATGTGAGAAGAGCGCGGGGTTTCCGAGTCTTTCGGACATTTGTTTCGGCTGAGAGATGTGGTTTTGGAGCAGGCGAGGCAGTGTTTGGAGGAGGCGAGGCCGTGTTCTGCGTGGTAGAAAGCTATTCCAAGAAAAGTGGGATTGCTAACGACAACGACTGCGTTGATTGTTTTGGTGGAAAGTCCGTGATTTTACCGCCACTTCTAAGTTGTGGAGGGATTTTACCATGATTTTAGCGTGATTTTACCGCCACAAAATGGAAGATGATTCAAATTGAGGTTGGCCACCAACCTTCGGGTGCCACGCCCGCTGACAACCTTGAAGGTTTCTGGATTTTCCCTCCCCCCACAGGTCACACAGTGTAGAAAACTACAACTACACGGTGCATGTGGGTCCCGGCCCCTGTTCAGTGCCCCGACCCTCCTCCCCGAGTTGGAAAAAGTCAGCTGGGCAAGGTACTGGCCGGAAAGATAAAAAAGGAAGCATTGAAAATTGTTGAATACCCCTAAAAGTTGGGTATGTCGTTAGATACCTCTAAAACAGGGGTATGCTGACATGCCCCAAACTTTCACATCTGCCCCAGTCCCAGTAACAGGCAACTTGGGCGCAATGGCCAAAAATACTGACACTTCCAGCAGCTAGTTCTCAAACCACTGGGGGCGCGCAGTCAACTGCAGCCGGGATGGCGCAACCCAGGACGGGATGGTGGACTCGGAACCAACAAATTTTAGATAAGTGTAATGCTTTTGTTACTCGTGCGGAGCAGAAGGAGAGAGACGAGCGGGCTGCAGAGCAGCGTGTGACTCGGCAACGAGAGAAGGAAGAGGAGGCGGCTAGAGTCAAGAAGGAACGTGAGGAGTTTGAAGCCCAGATGGGGCAAAGGTTGGAGAGCAGGCTTGCTCCCATGTATGATGCTATCATGGGTGAAGGCGGTGTGAAAGTGCAAGGCGGCGCGATTGATGAAGAGCTGGCTCACCTTCGACGGGAAAATGAGGAGATGCGGAATAAGTACGGTATTGCCGAGCAGCTGCCTTCTACCAACGTTGTTGACCGTCTGCAAAAAGAGAATGGCGAACTAAAGGAAGGCTGGGGAGGACTTGAGGACGCGGTTGGAAAATGATATGGCGGCGTTTAAATGGGAAATTAGGGGACTCAAGGACAACCATGAATCCATAGGGAGGAGTAACCTCAACAAGCAGATCGATGAGTTGAGGGCAGAAATGGATCTGCTGCGTAAGCAGAACGAGAAGACCGAGGAGGTTGCTCAACTATGGAGGAGCGAGGCCCTAAGGCCTGGGAATAAAAGAGGGAGTATTAATATATCAACACCGGCTAGCGAAGGGCGAACGGCAACACGATCCAGATTGGGGGGTGGCACCACTGGCACGGATGATGAAGCCAGGCGCCTGCGTGCAGAAGTCCAGGAGTTGCAAGAACGTCGTCGGTGTGACCAGACTGACGTGGACATGCTTAAGGAGAGGTGTGCTAAAGCTGAGGCGCAACGAATGGAGGCCGAAGCCGAATTGTCGAGATTACGAGAGCAACTGGAGAGTCTGTCTACTGAAGGTGCTGGCGCAGGTACACCGCAAGTTAAAGGAACAAATCTAAAAGAGAGAATGGACGATGCAGCAAAAACGGGCTTTCGCACGGGAAGACGGGGACGTGTGAAGATGACTCCCGGAAGGTTACCAAGGGAGGGCAGTGCCAGGAAAGTCAACGACAGATTTGCTTTCGTTCAGGATGAGCGGAAGCGAGACTCAGAGCACTCAAGAAGGGAGGCTTGGAACCGCTATGCAAAGAAGCGGGGATTAAGTATAAGACGGTGGATATTACGGTTGATGAGTTGGCTGAACTCAACGCGGAGAAGAGATTTGGAGGGAGTTGCAGCTCTGAGGAGAGGGCGGATCCTAAACAGGATCATGGTAAGTCAACCTCGGAGGATAGTAATGTCGCCGTGATTGAGGAGGTCCCATCAGATTCTGCTTGATGGGACTTCCGAAACGTGACTTTGTGGGGTCTTGCCAATTCTTGTCGTATTCAACGGTCTTCTTCTTCCTTTGCGCTTAAGGATGTGAAGTGGAATTCCTTGTTTCAGGTGGTTGTCCTGCTCCTTGCTCTACGTGGTCTAATTCCTTAAGCGGATAAATTCCGGTCGTATTTCTCGTCGATAGTAAATGGGGAGGGTGATCTTTTTCGGTGTACAGGCCCCTTGGTCTATGTCTTATTGTCCCCATGGCATAAGCATGTTTATGTGGGATCGACGGGTAGGGCGTTAGATATTCGTTGGGGTGAGCACGTCTATCGGACGTGCAACAGCAGTGTTATTGAAAGAGGGGAGAGGAATCATACATTGTATAATTGGCTCTGGGGTTGTGGCCCGGAGCACTACGTTGCGCTTCCTCTTTTTCGTTGTGAAGTATCGGATCTTCTTCCTCTGGAACAATTTATTATTCGTCGTTTCAATCCCTTTCTTAACTGTAGGGGGAAACCTCGAAGGCGTGTACGTTCTAGACCGGGAAAACGGGAGCGGGCTAAGCAGAGGAGGAGGAATTTAAAACTTACGGGCTTGGTGGCTGATAATTCACTTTGTTGTCGCACTCGGCATTCGCACTTGACTTTTGTGACCGGGGATGGAGTTCGGTCCACGAGTCTGTTGGCATTATTGGAAGGGGCAAGAATCTCCGGATGTAGAAGTTTGACGGTGAGTTGTGAAGGTGGAAATGTGCTCACTGACAAATGGAAAATTGTCAGACGATGTTTTGGAGGATCAATCGTGGAAAGTGATTTCGGTGTTGAGTCTCTGAAGAAGTGTCACGGCTGGTTAAAAAACGGTAATACACTGCTCTTCCGTTCTATTTCGTACTTCTGTTTTACGTTGCTCTGCCTAAAGCCGACGTTACTTGGCTTCCTGACGCACCCAGGGACGCGTGCTGACCTTTCTAGGTGGGAACTGAACCAATTGGTGGGGTTGTATTCAGCCATCAGATGTTTCAAGGAAAAACGATCTCGGTATCAGTTGCGTTGTTTAGTCTCTGGGGTTATTCGACGGCAGTTCGGAATTAATGTGCGTATTCGTCTTGTAGTTCGCATTACTTACGATGCATGCCTTAGTAAATGTGCCGTTAGGAAAACTTGCTGTGATATCCTGAGACGCATGGATGCTCCGTGTTGCATTCGTGAGATGATGGGCCGAAGGATGAGGGTGGTGTGGGTCAAAAATCGGAGTGTAGGAGATATTCTGTTCAATTTTCGCGACGTGTCGAGGCAAGGTGAGCACCGTTATGATTGTGGCAGATACAATCGGATGTTTGGGCGCGTCGATGAACATGTCTGTTTCAGGATTGCATCTGCTGATTTCGTACCACCCTTTCTACGTAATTCACTAAATATTCCCTGTCCCTCCCGTGTCACTTCACGACGTAATCTGGTTCGGCAAATTACTGCATCCTTTGATCAAGTGCCGTTTTTTCCGAAATTGGATCCGGGTGTGTCGGGGCTGACCTATTGGATTCATGCTTCAATAACACCAAAGTCCGGTATGATGGTATGGTGAGGGTTGATTGTGTCCTCAAATGGAAAGAGATGTTTGGGGATCTGGTGAGAGTCCCTATCGACCATAACGCTGGTGACACGTTAGTGCGCTGTCCTGTGGTGTATAGGCAGAGCATGGACTCTTTATTTCTAAGTAACCCTGGTTTTGTGTTATGTCAGGACGAGAGTGCCGCTATGGAGTCTTGTGCGGCTCGTTTTCGAGAGGAGGGTTTTGAAAGGTTGGGTAAGTGGAATCCGGCTGGAGATTTAGGGCAGTCTTACTCCATACCAAAGCACAAGGATATTACAAAATGGAGACCTATCTGCCCTACTCATTCGGAGTGTGGGGTACGGGCGAGTAAAAGAGCGGCACAGAGTATTAACGAATTGTTGTGGGATTTACCTTCGGCCACTAACTTCAATCTCAAGAGTATGGCCGATTTGGCTGCCACAGTTGGGAAAGTAAACAAGGAATTGAGGAAGGGCGAGTGTTTTTTGAGCGCTGCTTTTGATATTAAAGAGATGTTTTGTAATTTACCCCATGATGCGATTATGAAGGCGGTGCGTTGGGTTGTGGATTTTTGGATGATCCAGGGGTGTAAAGGAGTGTTGGTAAACCAGAGGGGGAAAGGTGCGAAGTTGAGATTTGGTGGTGTGCAGTCTGGTTGGATTTCCATTCCGTTCGCTACCCTTGTTGACTTTGTCAAATTTGACTTGGACTGCACCTTCTTCAAAGCTTGTGGACAATTACTGCAGCAGAAAGTTGGGATCCCAATGGGCAAGTCTTCTAGTCCGGCGCTGGCGTGTCTCTTATGTGTGTATAATGAGTTTCTTTTCCTCTCATCTCTTGGCTGTGACAGGAGGCTTATCAGTGGTATCCGAATGGTGGATGATGTCTCAGTGTTTGTAAGATATAGGGACGGCAACTCGAAATCTGAGGCGGTGGCTCAGTCTATTTTGAGCAGGTTCCGATTCTGTTACGATTCGAATTTGGTGCTGGAATGCACGAGTGATGGTGATTGTTGGGATTTTCTGGGATGTGTGCTGAAGGTCCTAGATTGGCCTTGGGGTATCCAATGTGTGGCTCTAAACAAGAACCAAAGGTTTTTCAAGGAAGACAGGTTGCGTTTTCAGAGCCTGCAGGACTATAGCTCCTTCTCGTGTAGGGAGCAGAAAATGGCAGTCATTTGCTCTTGCCTTCACAGGGCCAAGGCGTATACTACGATGGCAGGGATGGAAGTGGTTTTTCTCCTCACTCTTAAGATTGAGCTTAGGAGGAGGGACTTCCCTGATGAATACTTTGACAATGCCTTGCCAAATTTCTCCTGCAAATTCGGGGGCATTTGGGAAGACTGGGTCACTTACCTGACAGTTTGGGGAAGCCTGGTAGGGGGAAGAAGAAAAGCAGGAAGTGCACTTGAGGGGTAACAGGGTTGGTGGTCTAGTTTTTGTTTTTTGTTTTTGTTTTTTTGTTTTTTGTTTTTTGTTTTTGTTTTTTGGTTCTGCTACGATTTTGGTTTTTCAAAAATTCTTTCCGAAACGCATTTAGGGGTGTATTAGGACTGAACGAGGAGGTGGTCTGGTGGTGACTATCGATACTGGCGGTTTTGTGGACTTTGTCGTACTTGTCTGAATCTGGCTTCTACGTCCATTCGGCAGTTCCCTGTCGCTGTTTGGGTTGGCGGGGACTGTAGTATTCTGGTTCTGTTCTGTTTTTCTTAACCTGGTCTCTTTGTAGTACTTGGTCCATTTGATAGTCTTTTGGCGGTATTCCTGTCGTGGTTCCTTTTTTCTTTACTTAGGACTATTTCTTGCCTTTCCCAAGCATTTCTTCTGATTTCCCTGTTTGCTGCTGATTCTGTGACTATCCAGGTAGTACTTAAGCTCGTTCGTCTATTGGTTCGGTCCCTTATTTCCTTGCGACTATTCAGACCCCTGACGAGTTCCGGTTGGCGACCGGACGAAACGCAGCGTCGGGTCGCTGCGCCATGCTTTGCATGCTTATTTTTCGATATGTGGCGGTGTTATTGGTCGCGTTTCTGGAAAAATTTCGATATGTGGCGGTGTTTTATGATTAATCTTTCGGCTTATGATTAATCTTTCGGCCTATTGGTCGCGTTTCGGGACATTGGGACTATGTGTGCTCTTTCTTCTTCGTCATCCCCTTCGTCTTTCTCTTTTCTCCCTCCTTCCTCGTCTTTGCCTATTGCCCTATTAACAAATTTGTTGTTGCTGTGGATTTGTCCTTTACCAGGGGTATTTCACAAAGTTTCCCAACTGTCATATTCACCATACCCATGCTTTTCTGGGCCATGTCATGAAATACCCAAATTCATGACTCATGAGCATTCGACAATCTTTTTATTTTATTTTCTTTCTATATTCTTCTCTCAACTTCTGTTTCTTTACCTTCCACTACCTACTCCTAAGACTATCTAGAGGGGACCCCTGCAAGCATAGTTTCCTCTCTCTGTGAAGGGGGAGATTTCATGTTGCCCCTTGCCCCTAATGGTTAGGGTATAGGACTGGGGCCGCCTGTGTGGGTCTGGCTAACACAAAGACAGAGGCCTGCCAGTAGCTGTGCCTCCCTTTCTCATCGTTCCCCACCCTTCATCGAGTAGCAGCAGAGGCTATGGCCAACACTCTCCCACACACCACACACAACTCACTCGCGCTCACACTCACACCCGTGTTGGTCATAGACCCCGTTAATACCGATCAGGGGTATCCAGAGGACTATCACAGTCCGTTGGCACTAAGTGCGCCGCAGGCGGCCAAACGGCAAAAAAAGACCCTCATAAATGGACAGATATAATGTGGTAGCGCGTGTCATCCCTACGTTGGAGCCATTTCTTGATCTACCCCACTTGCACATAAGCGACAAACTCGCGCCGCGTGAACTCCAGGGCCGAGGTCCCACTAGCAAAGAGGATTGAATCTGGACGTGTTTCAAGCAGAGATTCGTAAAGGCAGTTTAAGCTAGATATTCTGCACGCTTGCACAAACGCGTTAAGATTAAGGCGTTCAATCCAATCCTCTTCGCTAGTGGGACCTCGGCCCAGATTAAAAGTGTAATCGAAAAAAAAAAAAAAAAAAGCTGCCACGATTTTTTTTTATTTTTTTTTTAATCGTCAGACAGTCACACGGCATATGGGTACGCCGGCCTGGTTAACTCATCACTCGCGGAACAATGTATGCTTAACCAGTTGCAGTCTTTGGGTTTAACAAAGACATGAGCTGCTACTTTCGTTTCTGGTTTTTTTCTCTTTTTTCTGGGGGTATTCCTCAGAGATTTTGCCAATGTCGCCATACCCATGCTTTTCTGCTGACGTCTTCCAATATGGCTTCTAACCCACTCTTTTCTACCAATATTGTCCGTACTTGTTAAAAAAGCTATGTTATTACTTTGCTGGGTTGCTGGTTAGTCAGATGATAATACCTCAAGGTCATCGCCCTTCAAAATATATATATATATATATATATATATATATATATATCGTCAAATAGAACTGCCCGGTAAACCGTAGGCAGAGAGGGAGAAGAGGACAACAAACGAGGGGCTGTGACAAACTGTTTCGTCGGAGTTTCACCGACTCATCAGGAGGCTGAACCCTCAACAGTCTGTAGAATCCCCTCACTGATTACACTGTAAGTGATAATCCACCTTAACCAAAATCAAAGTAGACTATCACTCACCCACACCAGATGGAAAACTCTACAGACTGTCGGTTCACACCCCATCACAAGCCAGCAAAACACCCACGAAACAAAGAAAGGTCTGTCACAGCCAAAAAATACACTCCAGACACGCCGCTGGCACTAGAGGCACAGCATGGCCGCGTAGTGACGGCCCCGACCACTGCCGCTCGACCTGACCGGAGAAAACCGTAGCAGGAAGCTAGCGAAGTCGTAGTATATATCGTCAAATAGAACTGCCCGGTAAACCGTAGGCAGAGAGGGAGAAGAGGACAACAAACGAGGGGCTGTGACAAACTGTTTCGTCGGAGTTTCACCGACTCATCAGGAGGCTGAACCCTCAACAGTATATATATATATATATATTGTTTATTATTATTATTTTTTCTATTGAATTTTATTTTATTTTTGAACAGTTACTACCCTTGATCTTAGCCAAAAGACCGAGAAAGGTCTAAAATACTAAAAGAGCCTTTACCTCAGCCGGTACACCCATGAACTTCTGAAATACAGACCACTGTTCGAATCCAGGATCGTGGTCCCATTAGCCACGAGGATGGGATTGAATGCCTGAATCTGGACGTGTTTGTGCACAGGTGCAGGAAATCGAGATTTAAATTTCTTTCTGCATCTCTCCGTAAACCACATCCAGACTCAGGTATTCAATCCGATCCTGGCTGCTAGTGGGACCTCGGCCCAGATGCTGGAAATTGATTTATGAGTAACACCCAACTTTCATGAGCATCCCCGTATGCCTACAATTGGAAAGATACAGGGACTGGTGTGGGATTCGAGAGCTGTCAGGATTTTTCCAGAGGCCTGTTTTCGAGAGAAAATGGCCCTTAGCCACATAGCACACTAGACCGGCCTCTCGAAATGGAAGAACTCGAGCGTGGACGGGCGGCATCACGAAAAACGGCCTGACAACTCTCGAAATGGACGTCGAACTCGAGCGCGGAGGGGAGGTATCACGAAAATTCCAAAGCTGCAGGCTGGGCGAAAACATCGTTTCGAGAGGGCACTCGAAAACGCCTTTCTGACAGCTCTCGAAAAGTTTCGAGTTTTTTTTTCGAGCGATGCTGTGTGGCGGTGCCCGACTCACGAATTTTTGAGATTCGAGAGTGGTGTGGCGAGGCCCACAGAGAAGATTAGCATGGCCCCTGCGCAAGGATGACACACATAAATCGAGAAATGATCTGCCCCACTTGCACATAAGCGACAAACTCGCGCTGCGTGATCACCAGAGAGAAGTGTAATGGAGCTGCCACTGTAGTTCGAGCTACTTGACTTGCAGCTCCCTCCTTGTTCACCCGAATAGAACGCCCGGTCATTATGGCCGCACCTGGACTGAAAGTTGCCTCAAATATGGCTGTAATGACCGGGCGTTCTATTCGGGTGAAGACGGGTAGCCGCCCCGCTGACAAGTCTGATCCATTCATCGCAGAGAGAGGGATAAGGGCATCGCCACAACTCTCTCGAGATGCGCAAAACGAGAACGAGCTTCCCGCTAGGACATGGCCAGATGCACCGGGCACATGTTTGTCTTTTTCACATTTCGAGAGAGCCACACCACTGTAGAAAACGGATTTTCGATAGTTTCTCTTGGCCACACAGCCTATCGAAATTGGAGATTGAAAAGGCCATGCCCGGGGAGGGGCGGCTGGGGTGCGCTAACGTGAAACACAATACAGCTCTATTTCGGGCGGCGCAGGACGGCTGGGCCCCGCGCCTCGGCCCGGGCGCTGCCGGCTGGAGAGTTGTCTGACTAAGCGATGGTAACTCCGTTCGTCTTCGACAATTCAGAGGTTAGATCCACGGAAGTAGGAGAAAAGAAAGGGGGGAGGGATGTTGGGAGAAGAGGAGAATAGATGTGCGACTAGCTCCATTTTTGGAGACATGGATGTCGCCATATATGGAAAGGTGGATCGTGAGGTGGTTTTCGTCACGTCATGCCCCCACGCTCGGCTCACAGATGACGGGAAGGTATACTCTCTTTCCTATTCTAAACCTGGCTTGTACTAAGTTTTTTTTTTTTTTTTTTTTTTTTTTTTTTGGAAAGCTCGAACTTTTTTTACAAAAATATCAATGGGACGAGGCCGGGGACCTCACAATTCTACCCGGAGTTATCCTGGCAGCCTCAGCCAGTTTAGCTTACGAGCCGAGCTCGACAGTCCAAACTAACTGCTAAAAAATGACCAAATTACTACCTGCTGGAAACCGGGTCCAGCGTCCCATCCAAGAAACTTTCCAAAAAATAAGCTTTAAAGCACAAAGCAAAAGGTGAGCCAAATGAAATTCCTGGGCCAGGCTCCTATTATCTTCAAATAAGTTGAAATAACCTGTGGAGACCCAGCTGAGACATGGAGTGCAAAACCGCTCCACTAGGCTGTCGTTATGCCAATCAACAAATGAGAGACTGTTTAGTCCCCTAGAGCCTGTAGCACTATCTGAGCTCTGGGTTTATTTCCAACGTCCATTCCGCTGAGAGTTTTGCAAACCTACTCTTCACCCATGTCTTTCTCGGCCAACTGAAGTTCTTTTTTCTGTAATCAGCGAATATTGTCAGTCTCACCCCCGCTTTTACCTGACTTACTGACTGAAAAAAGGGGGTATCTTCGTCCCGAAAGATTCTTGCGTTACGGGCAGACCAAATGGCCTCCATTATTAATCCTCTGCAGCACAGTACCACGTATTCCTCCCCACTCGAAATGCTCTCCCTGGCTGGCAGTTTTCCATGCAGTACAAAATCATTTTGCCAATGGAAGTTTATCTGTGTCTTTTTCCAAAATTCCTTCCACCACTCCCAAATCCTGTCAGATAACGGACAGCATAACCATAAATGCGTAGCCGATTCCCAGCCCCAATTGCACCGGGAGCACTTAGTGCTCAGCTCCATTCCCTTAGTGTTAAGCCACAGCGCAGCAGGGACTACCTGAAACGACTGAAGCCACTGAAGAGCCGCTTGCCTTTGGGATGGAGTTTTCTTCAATCCATTCCACAATCTATATAGATCCCTTTCTCCCATTTCCAGTGCTAGGTAGCCATCCAATCTTCGTTTGGCTACCACCACTGGTTTCTGTAGACTCTTTTCCCTCTGTATTGAAACGCCGATCTTGGTCTTGTATTGGCAGACTGCAGTTTCCTTCTCCTGGGTCTTCACCGTCCAGCCGTATAAAAGAGGCTCTATTATCAGACTATCCTGCGGACCCAGGATAAGTTTGCAGGTTGTTCCCTGTTCATTGTGTTGTTCCATAACCCTGACCTCTTCCAGGTCCATCGTAGAATCCACTGTGTCTTCCCCCTCCAGTAGGCAGTAGTAGCTTAGATCTGTCCCCACCTGCATTTCTTCTCCATTTTTGGACTGTGATTCCCTTATCTAGAGCAGGTCCCAAAATCTTCAGAAAGGAGTCCCTATTTTCTGGGTGACTTACCCAAGTGCCAGGGTTGAGTTCCCTTTCCCTAAGGGTCTTGACCCAGTGGAAGGGAGTTGTTGTCTTTATTTTCTCGAGGTTCTCTCTCAAGCTTCTGACCCTTGGCAGTTTTTCCTTCAGTTTCTGGACCGGGATCCAATCTGCTGCAATCTCATCCCACACATCTCTCAACTGTATAACCCCATGTGCTATCCAGGTCCTACCAAATGTACCCGGACTGCCATCCGCCATAAGTTGGCTTGAACCCTGCTCCAGAATGAAGACATTTTCAAATATTATTTCATTCAACATCTCCTCCTTGGAGCCTGGTTCCTTAATTACCTGTGGCCTTATCCTGTTCCAGGCCAACATTATATTATGCCAGAGTCTCGACTTTGGTCTTCTTTGACAGTACGACCCAATCATGAAACACAGCCAAACGTGGGGACCTTCCTTTAAGGACCATTCATTTTGCAGGATAGCCTTTGTCAATAAAACCCAGCATTTTCCCCTGTCCCCAAACATTGCCGCCACCGGCCACTTAGCTAGGAGAGCAGTATTTTGCTGTTTGGGGTCAAGAATACCCAACCCTCCTTGATCCCTGCTGCAACATACCATCTCCCATGCTGCTTTAACTATGAAGTTTTGGTGTTCGTTTGCTTGGGGTTCCCAAAGATATCTTGCTGCTGTTTTCCTTATCAGCTTATAGGCTTCCTCTCCCAGAAGACACACTGATAAAGGGAACCACAGGACTGAAAATGCTGCCGAAGAAAGAACCAAAGCCCTACCAAAGAGAGACAGCTGGTGGTTTCTCACCCGCCCATTTATCCTGGACACAACTTTGTCCTTTAACAGGGCGTCTTGAGTAGCAGAACAATCTGTCAACGATACTTGAACTCCCAAGAATCGATCCGACGTGTTTGACGGGATCTGACGAAGACTCCAGTCTACAGCAAGAGTAAAGTTCTTAGGTAAGAAGTATACGGATTAATCCCAGTTGATGGATGCTTCCGACAGCTCACAGTATTGGTCTAGCACTCCCTTCAACACTTCCAGTGCTTGTTCCTTGTTTACACACGCAACTGTCAGGTCGTCGGCTATCGCCCCCCCTTTCCAGTTAATCCTTGGGGGAAGGTGAAGTCCTACTATCCTATCATTTATCCTTATATTATGTAACAACACTTCTAATTGGGTGACAAAGAGGAGGGGCGCCAAAGGGCGGCCCTGTCTCAGTGACCTTGAAAGAGGAAAATCTGCTGAGATATGACCGTTTACCATCACAACTGAGGTGGCCTCAGTATACATGGCCCTCACCCACATACAAAATCCTCTACCAAATCCCATCTTCTCCAGTGTGGTGAAGACGAAGGCCCACCCCACTTTGTCGTAAGCTTTTTCCATATCCAACAGCAAGATCGCCACTTCCGTATTCTCCTTGCCTATTACTTCTAGGGCCTGAATGGTCGCCATAATATTATCGAAAATTGACCTACCCTTCACGAATGCCCCTTGCTCTTTCCCCACTAGGTCCGGGAGATAATTTGCGAGCCGTATTGCCAACCCTTTTGCTAGTTGTTTATATGCAACATTCAGGACAGATATTGGTCTATAATTTCTTACCTCCCTCTTATCCCCTTTCTTATATAGTAGGGATATTACCGCTTGTACTAAGTTATTGATGCCTCAGTATATGCTATCTAGTAGTAATGTTAGTTCTAATTCTAATTTTGGTTGGTGGTTTGTGTCTAAACAATAATTTGTCCGTATCGATGGCTGTGACAATGGCTGCTGTGGAACCCCCACCGCCTTCAGGTTCACCTACGATCAACCCCTTTTCGAAGGAAGGTAAACAACTGATTAGGGCGTCGTTCGACACTCCTTGGGGACGTGATTTTGAGGATTTCGTCGTCGTTCCACCTGTCCTCAGAGCCGATTTCCGGAGCAGAAATGTGAAAACACTCCCGAGGACAAATCCTTGGGCTCCGAGGATTTCCCGGCCAAATCGTCCTCGACTCCAAAGGACCTCGCGAGGTCCTTTGGAGCCCGAGGATCCGCGATTATTGGGGTGTCGGCGGCGAGTCGAGAAGGAAAAATGGAGGTCGAAGGTGGTCCAGTGGTGGTCCAACCGGCCGGAAGACGGACATCGCGGACCGTCCTCGTCCAACACGTCCACCAATGGCCTCGTCGTTTTACCGTTGGCGGTGATTGGCGGTACGGCCCTGTCGGTTCGTCGGGCGGCCCCACGCTGGTGCCGTGGTTAGCATTGGACATCTTCGGCCGGGTCCTGGAGGGGTCGTGGCGTTCCCGCTGGCTTCTCAACGGTCGAAATTATGGGTTTTTTAAGCGGCCTCCCCCAGCCGGTGCTTGCAGCAATTTCGTACATTGGCGTCTTCCCTCTCGCAACGTGTGTCTCCGGTTGCCACGATCTCGACAGCGCGTGTTCTGTCTGGGCTGGCCTGTCATTCATGGCTGACCTGTACCGCAGGCTGCCTTTGCTGCTGCTCGTCGCTGTGCTGCTGCTTGCCGTTGTCGTCTTCCATATTTGCATCCTCGGTCGCGTCCCTGTGAGGAAACAGACGCGGCGAACGCTGAAAACGGGCAGGAAGATGGAGAAACCACAGACGAAGACCACGCTGTCCGTAGGGGCTGGGGGGTCGTCACGTCAGCGTTGCAGCACTGCGGAAGGCGGCAGGCGGCCGTACGACCCAACTTTGTACAACCACCTGCCGTCCCACGAGATTCCGTTGCCTCCGAGTGACGACGACGGCGACGACACCAGATCTTCAACGGTTCCTCTGGGAGCGGTTCGACGCAGGATTGGATGGGGAGCCAGCTGTACAAACAGTCATCGACGCCGATGTACACTGATCTGCTGGAGGGGCAGACCCCGATTGGTTATGACGCAAGACTCGTAGATCTCAGCTTCGGTTTGAGGTCTGGAAGTGCAGAGGACGTCACACACACCGTTCTCGTGAACCCAGCTTCCGGCACCAACCACGCACCGCCTTCAGTGGCGCCGTCGGGCCTTCCTGATACCCGCGGCTGGTGTTCTGGTCAGTCGGGCGACGAACGTGGAGTCCTTTCGCGAAGGCAGGGGGCAGTGGGCACAGCAGGTGTGGCCGCGTCGAGAACGAGGACAGGTGGATCGACGACGCCAGCCGGTAGAATCGATGGAGTTTCCGCAGCCCAGTCGGCCACGATATCTTATCCCCGTACACCCTCAACAAAGCACCTGTCACATCGCGCAGGACTCGAACTCCGGAAGTTCTGCCTATGCCGAAGGATGATGCGTTGTTCTCGTATGACTCTCCTGTAGCCCACCTATAGAGCGCGTACGCGACGATCTGCTCCGGCTGAAGCGGTTCCCTGTAAAACGTCACCTGTCGTTTCAAATGAGGCGTGTAGGCTTCGCTGATCTCCATGAACACTCTCCTGGACATGCGGAGCTTTTCACGGAAGTAGTCGTCTGTCGCGTCATTGCACACCCGCAAATCCTCCCAAGTCCCGCCAGTTCTCCGCCTCAACCACCAAGGTGGCGTCGCCCGAGGAAGCAAACCCCACCCGATTGCAGTGCACAGCTGAACCACGGCCTCCGATGTGGAGATGCAGTCCGGGGCGTCCAACACCCTCCGCAGCAGAAGCCTCTGCCGCCGCCTCGAAAGCACCGCCTTCATGCGCCCGGCCGCCCTCTTCAATTGGAAACGACGGACAACGACAACCGCAGTCGCCGCGACAGTTGTCTTCTCCCTCGATGACAGCACAACACGGGCATCGCCATCGCAGCCCTCCATGACGCCCTTCCAACACGAAAAACAACGTCCACACCCACCCACCTGCGTGCACCTCTGCCACCACGATTGAAGACGCCTGCAACCAGGTGAGGAGGACAGCCCTACCGAACGATGTTCTGCCCATGTTGGAGCCTCCGCCCACCACCGCTGAAGTACGGAACCGCCGCGCGGCTCCACGTGGCGAGCGCAACTGCCGATCGGACGTCTTCGTTTTGCCGCGTCGACCACACTTGAGCGTTTCGCCGCGTCGACCACAGTGGCGGTGCGGTGGCGCAGAAATACGCAAAGTGATGGCAACCGAAACCCTGCGAGGTGTGGACTGCCCCCTCGACGACCCGCCTGTGCGCCGCCACCACGTCGCTACGCAAGAAGAAAATTTGAATTTCGAATTTCGAACGGGGCCGTTCCCGCCTTGCCGATTTTGTTTTCCAGGGTCCGTGACGCATTCTCGTCGTTCGCCTTTTGGACCACCACAACTCCTACACGGACATCCCGATTCGGAGGCCGGACAAGCCCCTCACGGTCGTCTGTAATCTAATGAAACTGGCCGCGGGAGGGCCCTGAGGATTCGTCCTCGGGGCGATTCTCTGAGGACAGGTGGAACGACACCTCCAAAAATAAAAAAAACTCCGAGGATTCATCCTTGGAGCCCGAGGACGCGCTGAGGAGTGTCGAACGACGCCCTTAGAGACCTTCTGAATACCTGTTTCGACGACAGAGTTCTCCCAGACTTCTGCAACCCAGGGTTAGTGGAAACAGGAGAAGATTTCGTCAAAATTACGGCAGATCAAGATGTCTACAAAGTCCAGACAGATTGGTCGAGAGACCATGCTATATCCGTATTTTTTTATGATGAGGCAACGTCTCTGTCAGTACACGTTAAAAACAGGCTTGTTCGGATATACGAAAATGGATGGGATGCCGCTGGGATTACAGGGGCAGGGGCAGGGCCGGTGAGAGGGGCATTTAGGAATGAAGGGAAGAATCTGGCAACTTACGTGGCCTCATCAAAACCAAGCGCTGGCTGGATGCTATGGAAAGGGGAAGATAAGGTGATCCTAGACGGCAGATCTGACAAGTTGACCTTTTGTGCATGGATGACGGAGCAGCAGCTCCACGATTGGAGAGACGCAATGCACCAAAAATTCTTTTGGATGCGGTGTATGGAAGTCCCGGTGACGGCGCTGGGGCTCTTGAAAAGAGTAGTTCAAGATGCCCTTGGCCCTATGATCAAGGACTTTCCAGCGTACACCAGTCCGCTAGAACCCGATCTTTGGAACATCATGTTTGACCTGTTCCCCTCTACCAAATTACGCTATAAAAAGTGTTTGCAGATTGACCTAACAAAGGACAGCCTAATTAAAATAGATGTCATATGTGCAGAGACATCTTGGTATCGACTCTGTCGCCGTCATTTTCATAAGGAATCCGATGATTCCTGCCCACGGGAAAAACGAAAACAAACACTCGGAAATGACGAAGGGGGAGGTTCTTCGGAAAAGGAAGAACCACCGAAAAACGCATCTAAAGCAGATGGGATACAAAGAGAGGATGAGAGTCTTGAGCCCTGCTTCAAGGAAGTTCTAATGCGACATATAGATGAGAACGCACAAAAGGAACTTCGTAAGAGGGAAAACAAGGATACGGGGAAGAACAAGGGGAAGGTCAATTAGGACCCTCAAGCCTCAACTGGAAACCTATTTAAAGCTAAAACAAAATCCATGTATGTTCCTAGGAAGGGGAGTGGGGTTGTCTCCTCAAAGAAACCAGCAGAGAAGAAAAGCCCAGACATGTCTTCGCCTTTTGTTTTTGGAGATAAAATTCAAAAAACAAAAAGGACAAAAGGAAAGGGAAATCCAAGAAGAAAGGCACGCTGGAACCGGATACAGGTAACAACGAGAGGGAGAGCACTCACCCGGTTATGATTCCCCCTCCGGCTAAGAAGGAGAAGGGCAAGGACACTATGATGGAGGACTCATAACCCGAGAGCGATAAGATCCCGGGGCCTGCCGTCGAGGACCAAGTGGACTTGGACTTGGCCTCCCTATTTCACGATGGAGAAGGTGTGAAACCGACTCAGCACGGGGGGATGACAAAAGAGGAACTCCAGCACAAGGGCTTCGATTTCACCATTCCGGGTCTTGCAGCAGCAGACCGAATGTCGTTCTCTAAAGGTAATGATGAAATAATTTCTTAAAAGAAAGCGAAGCTAAATGATGATTCAACTCATTAAACGATAGCAGAAGCAGGGTTGGGTGAGGCGTCAGATGAAGTCGGCTCAATCGCACACCCAAAGAAAAGAAGTGCATCTGGAAGGTCGGTTAGAAAACTCTCCTACTGGCTAAGCCAATGATGTCCTTGGGACAGACAGATAAGGCTAAGCCGCCTCTGAAAGAGTACTTGGTCCCACTTATACTTTCTGACTCTGCGTTGGGACTGATGCTACTTACGAAGAAGGCAAAAGATGAAACCTTGAGCATTCCCACTCTGGAAATTCCAAATATCCCCTCAGCGGATCAGATACGGGATCTGGTAAAAAAACGCGTGTTGAATTTGACAGGATACTGTATGATTCTTCCTGAGCCAAAACCAGGTCGCCATGTGGTAGAGTTGAAAGGAGGGGACAAGGCTTACTTTCACATTGTTTTTATGGGACTAAGCTCCGTTTCAGAGACCTTTGGCCATTGGTGCGCTAAAAGGGTGCACTGGTACCAGATTTCTAACTTGCTGGCTCCAAACAGCGAGAATGCCTTATCCGTTTCTCTAGCCACTAAGTGCACAACGAAAAAGGTTACCAATTGGATGGCGAAAACTGACGTAATAGCCGTGGTATCAGAGCCCAAATTCAGAATCTTGGTCATTGCCTCAGCTATGTCACTAAAGTTCCCCGAAAATGACACCCCTATTCAACTTTCAAGCGGGGCAGACCCAAATGATGGTTCTGCCCCCTAAAATCCGAATTGCCAGTTGGAATGTTAAGGGATTGGGGGACACCGTAAAAAGACATAAGAGATCAAGGATTCCGGCATGGATGCAGCAGGAGGGAATTCAGATTTTGTGCTTACAGGAGACTAAGCTTAATACGGATAAAATAGAAGAAATAGGACCTTGGTGCCAGGACCCTCAATTCTAGGGCCCCGCGAGGGGATCCAGAGGAGGTACCGCCATCTTAATCAATAAGGACATAGACCGTATAATTCTGGACTCATATGCGGACCCGTCTGGCCGACTAGTTTGGGTTAAGGTAGCGGTGGAAGATGAGGACTGGGCTATTCTCTCAGTGTATGCTGCGATAGACTGCATTAGTCGCGCAACCTTTTTTGCCAGCCTACCAGCATGCATTCCTGACACTGAGAATATGACAATCCTAGACAACTGGAACACAATTTTATGTCCGGGCTTAGACACTCTCGAACTCTCTCTGTTGAGAGCAGACGCCAATCTACTGTTAACCTTTTTAGAATCTCAGGAATTTGTGGATACCTTCAGGACTCTCAACCCGGATACTAATGGACATACGTGGTTTGGGGCCAGCCCTGATGAGTTCACCCCACCTCCGAGTAGGAGGTTGGACTTCATATTCGCAAGGGGAGTCCTTTGAGACAGGTGTGTGACCTCAGAGCTCCGCATCTCCTCAATGTCGGACCACTACCCCATATTTATTGAGATCCTAATTAAAGAAACAGTGGAAAAGGAAAGGTCGCCCTTTAGGCTAAACATCAACAACCTAAAGGATAAAGGAATTCCTCAATGGATAACTCACTAGATGCAGGTTTGACCCCTAGCTAAAAGTCTGTTTGAAAAGGAAGAGGACTGGGTCCACGTGGGTATCCAAATTATCAGAACAACCATGATCGAGTTTTTCTGCATGAAAGCAGCTAGACGAAATTGGAAAGAGACTCAAATTAAAAGAACAATTGAGAAAGCGGAAAACAATATGAGAATAGACCCGTTTATGGACTACTACTGGGCATGAAAAAGGAAGGAAGCCCTCTCCCAGCTGGAGGAGACTGAACAGCAAAAACAAGCAGACTGGGTTGAGTGGTTGAAGCTATGCGGGATAACAGTTTACGACAGAATGACAAAACCGGCGTTTCGGTCCTTGGTCCTGCGTCAAGCGAAACCACAAATAAGGGGATTTCAACACCCCTTTTCCCTAGACGTGCCACTAGTCCATGACACGGTCAGCTTGTGCCAATATGCACTCAAATACTTCAGGGATATTGTATCCACGCGCAGACCATACGACCACTTTGACACAGACCTATCCAATGAGTGGACCTCGCATGTGGACAGATTTCAGTCAGAGACAGAGAGAGATTGGATGCCCCTCTGACGGAGAAGAGGTATACAATACAATCAAAAGGATGACCCTTGGTAAATGCCCGAGGCTAGATGGCTTACCTGTGGACCTATTTCTTAGTACTTGGGAAGCTTTCGCCCCTTTTTTGTGCTAGGTGTACAACAGAGCCCTATCTACAGGACATCTACCAAAACGGTTTATTAAAGGGGTGATCTCCCTACTGTTCAAGAAGGGAGACAAAAGAGAAGTCCGCAACTAACGTCCGATCTCTGTCTTGAACGTTGTTTATAAAATGGGGTAACTTCGGCGCAGTCACGAAAACAGTTTGTAATTGCACTTCAGGCAATCCCCTGAATACAACGCACCCCCACGCGACCCCACCGGACCCGAAACGTAGGTCACATACATTCACCATTACCGGCCCTTTTGCCTCGAGTGCAATTACAAACTCAAACCCTGACTGCGCCGTAGTTTTCTCTTATAAAACATTGGCCAAGACCCTAGCTTTGAGGTTAGTAAACCTACTTCCCGACATAGTGGGATGGGAGGAAGGGGCCTTTGTAAGATGGCGGTCCATATTTGAGAACATTCTAACAGCGGTACAAGCACTAGAGATCATTGGGAAAGAGAAGCGAGAGGTCGCGGTCCTTCTTTTGGACATGGAAAAGGCCTACGACGTAGGATGAGCCTTTGTATCCACTACCTTGAGTAAGTTGGGTTTTGGTCTGGGCTTTAAGACATGGATCAATGCGATGTACTCGGACTCCGTCTCAACTCTCCAAGTCAACGGTAGGCTATGAGATGAGTTTTCGCTGACCAGATCGATGAGGCAGGGTTGC